GAGCACCATTCGACCCTGGAGAAATGGGCACTGCCATGGTGAAAGGTCACCACTGCTCCTCCTGGAGGCCAAACTTGCACAAGCTGCTGTCTTAGCAGTGGCACAAGCTCCCTTTGCCCCTGGATTTCAGCTAGTGCTGCTGCCTAGGGGCAGCAACCATTGGGGTGTGGATGGCTTCACGTCATGGTGATGCCAACACCAGACCTGCACCAGCCATCTTTCCTAACCAGGTCTTCACAGCTGTCCAGGTAGAAGTGCACCCATCACCCTGGGCAAGTTTGCACTGCTCTGTGCTTGGGTGTTTCCCATCTGTCTCACTTCTGGGCATGCTCCTACCTGAGACCACAGGTGCCCAAGCTTGAAGAGCTGAGAGCATGGGACAGGCAAAGTCACCACAGTGCACAGCTGCTTGGTCAATGGCCTGAGACCATCACAAGCAAACAAAAATACACAAAAGAACAACATAAGACATGAATGTGTACCTGTACAACATGAGCAAAGAGAAAGGAAGAAGAAAGAAGAAGAGGAAAAGGAAGACGAAGACGAAGAAGAAGGAGAAGAAGAAACAAACAAAAACTCAAAATGGCTGCCTGTCCCTTGTGTGCCCTCCATCCTGTTCCACTAGGGTGGCCTGCCCTGAAATCAGGCTCCACCCATCTACATCAGAGTTTGGAACAGCTGCCTGCCATTCTGCCACACTAGAGAATGGAGCAGCAATCTATCCCACATGGGCTCTGTCATGCTTTACCAGACCAGAGGGACAGAGGAGTAGTAGAGGCATCATGCCTGGGACTCCACCAGCCCTTGGTGCCTCCTCACCACTGCCACTGCTGGAACCTGTGGAGCATGGCTCCAGACTCCCTGAAATGGTCAAGAATTAAGTCTAGGAAGTTAGAAGGAATCTATCCCATGCCATCAGTCTCAGTCACAAAAGAACAGGCAACAACAGACAAGATGTCAACCAGAAAGATACACACAGCACCAGACAAGAGATCCCGGTGCTTCTGCAGTGGAAAAACCAAAAGTAGGACTGTGATGAATTGCAAAGTTGTGGGAGCTACTGGCCTTTTCCTTATCCAGAGATTCAGAGATCACAGAAAACTGGGATGCTTTATCACTCCTTACAGATAGGGGCACATCTGTCCCCTCCTCCAAAATAGTCTGGAATGTCTTCCAGGCCCCCTGTGGCCCAAGGTTGTCTAGCCCATCTGCTCTAACCATTCCCAACCACACAGATTACAGATTTTGCCTTGAGGCCCAAAACAGAAACTAGAGGAACACCAAGACAGACATAGACAAACAGACACAGACAAGACACTTACCGGCTGGTCCTCAACCCTTTGGTTCTGGGGTCCTGGGGGTCTTGGGGATCATTGATGAGCCAGGAAGATTTTATGCCCAAGTCTTGCATATCCAAAGTCCACCAAGGAGCTGATTCTGATGCAAACTCAGTAGGGTCTTTTATTACAAGCTTAAGCTTGGGCCCACACTGTCACCAATGCAGTGGTTCTCCAGTGTAGAGGCCCTAGCTCAGGGAGAGAGGGGTTTTTATTTAGTGTTACAGCACAGTTACACAATTGGGTGCCATTCAGCAAAGGCAAGCTTGTTACAAAGTGATTGTGGCTAACTAACATTGAGCAAGTTATCTATAGACCTCAGGAGTGTTAGATATTGCTGTGTCTTGAATGTTCTATTATAAGGCTGGTGAGCTGCCCAGCACAGGTCACAGATGCTGCACCCTGAGAAAAGATACCTTCCAATTCTTGTGGTTACCTTCAGGCTATTCCTTGGGTAGGGGACTTTATTGTCTTCTTCCTTTAACTGGTGATCTATGACCTAAGTTCCTGGGACTGGTGACTTTTTTTTGGAGGGGGGTCACGCTTTGTTCTGTCAATATACACATACGCATTGAGATTGTGGGACGTAAAAGGAAGGTAAGTAGAAAGTAAGATTGGTGAACATACAGGTAGATGAATATCATTGAAATATATAGTAGAGTTGAATAAAACTGTCTATAAAACTCATCTCTACCAAAGCAGTGACAGAGGCAGCCTTAGCCAAAGGCTTCCTGTCAGCAGCCTCATCTGAAAGCTTGCACCTCTGTAGTATAGTGTTTTGTGTGCCCTTTGGGTTAGTGTTGTGGATCTATTGCTGAGGTAACTCACAAATATTGTGTTTTCTGGGTATGAAAAAGTGTGGTTGTTTGGTTGTTGTTTTGGTTGTTGTTTGAAACTGGCAACACCTGGCTAGCAGGATATGTAAATATCATTCCCTCATCTGCTTGTAAAAGTAAGGAAAGCTGCTGTGGGGCAAGGGGTCTTCACCATTTTACTAGCTGAGTAAGGAATGGGGCTTTTGCATTATCAAAAGCTGGCAATAAGTTGGGGCAGGAAATACGGGTGGGACATCCAGGCAGACAGAGACACAGAGAGACACAGAAAGGAGCAGGGAGAAGGAGGTGAGAACCCAATGTAGAGACATAGTGGCTGAGAATTTAATTTAGTACATAGCTGAGAATCTGCCCCAGCAAAAGACAAACAGCCTTAAATTATCTCGATGTGTCCAAGTCTTAATTAAACCTGAAATGGGATCCACAAAAGCCAGGCAATAACCTGTTCCCTTGACTTTGACACCTTCCTTTTCTCCAACATTTTTCTAGGCAGGAAACACTTACATTCATTAATCATTTTAATTAAAGTATGATTAAAATCATAGATATTATTCTATGTCTATCTTCAATTCTTGAATGAGAGAATGAAGATGTTTAAAATATTTAAAGTTGTGTTGTTCAAGAAATAGATCTATACATATGAATAACATAGATGTAATGTTTGGGATGGAAATGACTCAAAAGACAGAAAGAAGGGTGGACATGTGTATTCTACAAAAGACCTCCTATCTGAATTTATAAGTTCTTTCCCCAAAGAAAACATGATCAAAATTTATTTATAGCCTACATAATGTTTAATTCCAGTTACAAAGTTGGACTACATTGCCATCTTATTATAAGGATAAAAAACTCTATATCTATCTTCTTGCAGTTAGATATGATCTCTTAGGAAAAAAAAGTAAGAGGGATTGTGGCTTTTTTGGTCTTTTCATTAAGATCTTTCTAATCATCTTCAAATGAAATGGCAGAGATGGATCATCTTTTCCATAATTTATAATGTTTATAATATTAGATAAAGACAAAATTTGAATCATTTTAAAAATACATCTTACTTTGATCTTATATAAGGCTAAGAGTAGATTATTCTTTTCATGTTTTTTATTAAGTTGTAATTGTGATAATAATATACATTAAATTAAATAGAAAATAAGCCCTTTTAAAGTGTTATTTTGGGTTGTTATAGAAAAATTCCATTAAAGTCATTTTATTAAATAACTTTGATTTCGCTTATTTAGGAAAAAGTATTTAAGTCTCTTCTATCTATTAGCAAATAGATAATGACTGCTAGTTTTTCCAGAATAAATGAAGTAAATCAATGAAAAGCACATATATTCTGTTATTAAAATGCTTACACTTGTATTTCCAAAGATTAAAGGTATACAAGTAGTATTGATACATATGAAACATTATCAATGCTAATAAATTCCATTATTTCCATACTTTCTTTTATTTTTAATACATTCTCATATTTTACAATAAATGCTTGGATCATCATTCAAACAGTCATTACTGCTTGTGATTTTAAGAAACATTTGCATACTCTTTGTTTTAATAATTGTTTCTGTGCCTATCATTTGTCATTTCTTCTTTTTCTTTAATTATGTTGGCTAATGTAGCATGTTAAGCTGATTTTGAAAGTGCAAGTGTTTAAACAAAGTACACATATTTTAATATATCATAATCCAAAATATGATATTAGTATTTTTAAAACTGTGTATTGTTTTTTGATTTTTTTTTTTGGTGTGTGTGTGTGTGTGTATGTGTGTGTGTGTGTGTGTGTGTGTGTGTATGAATTTCATATCATGTATCCTAGTCTCGGTCATCTCCCCACCACTTCATATCTGCCCTCCATCCTTGCAATACCCCCAAAGAAAAAAAAATGTCTCATTTTGGAAGCTGTAGTGTGTCACAGTGTGTTCCACAGAATATCCTTTTGCCCTCACTTCTTTGCTTACAAATGTTCAGTGCAATGTCTTATTGGTCTGGTATGAAGCCTCTGGCTTCTGCTACTCCGTCAGTGGTGGATCCTTGCTGGGACTCCTCTCAGATATCCTGTCACTGCCCTGTGTCATGGAGATCCTGTAGTTTTCAATCTGTAGGACTGCCTCCTTCATGCAAGGAAAATGAGCTGTAGGGCCAGCTGTGCTATGTTTGTATTCTCCGGGCCATCTAATCTGCAACTCCACAGTGTGTGGGCATGCTCTCCCAAGTACTGCAGCTGTCTAGGGCCAGGGTTTCTCCTGCTTTCTTGCTCTTCCATGATGACCAAGTGAGGTGTGGAGCCGGGACTTCCCCGTGCTAGGTGGCTTTACTGGTTACTCACACCCCGGGGTGCTCTCTAGTTCTGCTTCTCTTCAGTGTGCCCACATCCTTTTGGTTCTCTTTCTCTTTTATTTTTCCACCTCTTGATGTTCTTCTTAGAGGCTCCAGGGGTCCCTGAGTGTCTGGGGTCATCTCAGGAGTGGTTTCAGGAGTGCTATGCCATACTCGTGCATTATGGTGCAGGGCAGAGGTCATCTCAGGCATGGTCTGCCCCCCCCCCCCCAGGCCTGTGTAGTGCCAGACAGGTGGTCCTCTCGGGCTAGGTCCCTGTCTCGACCTCATGGCTCCAGTCTGGTGATCATCTCAGGCTCACTCTTCACCCTGCCCACCCGAGTGCCTCCTTGTGAGAGCCGTCTGTCCTGCCCGGGGCCTGCTGTCCCAGGTGGACTGTCTTCCAGTCTCTGGCGTGCTCCCCTTCCTGGAGACTGTCTGTGCTGGACTGGTGATGGTGTCAAGGTAGTCCCCTGTCAGCAGCCGCTGAAACCAGACTGGCGTGCTTTCTTCAGGGAATGTTAGGCTACTGATTATTCAAATGTTCACAGGTCAGAAGACTGAGCATAGTCTCAGCCTGCCTGCTCTCTGCCACCTCCTGACCCACAGGCGACTCAGCAGCCACCCCTGCAATGTCTCTATTGCAAGGTTTTGTTTGTTTATAAATTCCCAACCACCATGAAGAAAAATTATGTCATTGGTCACAAATCATTTTTCTGTTGTCTTATACCCTATTATTTACACACATTTATAGTTATAGTGGCTGCTTGCCTTAGTTTCATAATAACAAGTAGTGCATCTGAAACTATTTATTTATTTACATGCACATTTCATTCTCTCCAACTGAATTAACCCTCAAGTAAAAATTGAATACATAACATAGTGATGGGGAGATGATAACTAGACAGTTACAGAGGGACTGTACAATTGAAGATACAATGTGAGTTAATCATTTATTTCTCATTTGGTGTTATTAGCCGAAGGCACCACCCCAACAGCTTGGGAGTGGTTCACTCTTAACACTCATGGTTTTAGGAAGTGCCATATATTTCTGTTTGGTGAACAACAGAGACAAATACATAATTCTTCATGAGAGATTGCAGAAATCCTCCAATATTCTTTTTCTTCTTGGTCATAGAAGATAATTTATTTCCTTCTTTGTTCCCATCACTTGTATTCTTCTATGTCTCCTCCCCACCGTAGGGGTTTCTTCAGCCTCTTCATCAAAAGCTATTTTTCACTAAAATCCATACATCTAAACAAACTAAGAAAAAGAGAGGAGCCTAACTAAAATGTTCAATCCCCATCCTGAAAGGCAAAGAGGATGGACATCAGAAGAAGAAGAAAATAGGAAACAACCTAGGAACCTGCTACAGAGGGCCTCTGAAAGCCAGAAGAAGAAAACAGGAAACAACCTTGAAACCTGCCACAGAGGGCCTCTGAAAGCCTCTGCCCTGCAGACTGTCAAAGCAGATGCTGAGCCTGATGGCCAACTGATGGTCAGAGTGAATGGAATTTTATGTAAGAAGTGGGAAATAGCAAGAGCTGGAGAGGACAGGAACTCCACAAGGAGAGCAACAGAACAAGAAAATTTGAACACAGGGAACTTCCCAGAGACTCATACTCCAACCAAGGACTATTCGTGGACATAACCTAGAAGCCTGACAATGCAGCCACTTCTGATGAGAACTGATAGACTAAGATCAGAAAGAAGGAGAGCAGAACCTTCCCTATCAGTAGACTTGGGGAGGGGCATGCATGCAGAAAGGGGGGGGTGGGACTGGGAGGGGAGGAGGGAGGGGCTTATGGGGGGATACAAAATGAATAAAGTGTAATTAATGAAAGTTAAATTTAAAAAAGCTATTTTTTTTCTAATTTCCTGGGCTCTACAGGTACTGAATATTAAATAGCAAATCTAAAGATGGCTAGTACCTGTAGAATCCCATAGTTCTGTGCTTGGGAAAATTTCTTCCTGATTTGGGAATGCTGTTACTTTTATTCCCCCTTTCTTTCCTTTTAACAAAGATACATACCAATATTAAATTAAGTAAATTGTAAATTTCTAGCTAAGTAAACAGGAAGTCTTTGAGAGTCAGAAACTAAAAGAAAACAAAGAGCAAAGAGCTTAGACAAATCACCCCATGACAATTTCGTGACACTCAAACTCTTCTATTTGATGGAAATGAAATAGTAAGGCACTGGGACGGAAGTAGCAAGAACAGTGGCCGGGCTTCCCTGGTCAGAGTCTGCCTTGACTGATGGACATGCCAAAGAGATCCAAGAAGCAGCACAAAGATCTGATGCTGCCATCATAATAGGGAAGAGGGCAAGAGAGCTAACTGGCCTACACTGTCTGAGTCATTTGTCTGCCCAAACCAAACCTAAGTAATGTTTATAGTGATTAAATAGCAAACTATAATTCTGACAATGCCTAACATATTATCCAAAAGTCATCTGGTATTAGAACCAGTCACCCATAAGCTCATGGAGAAATGTTCATCAGTAAGTGTATTTCAGACAGCTTTCTATCAATATAATGAGATAAGAGAGATAATTAACATATAAACAAGAAAGTTTGTATGGCGCACAGTATGAGATGTTAGAGTCCATTATTGACTAGCACCATGAGCTTGGACCTCTGTGGAGACATCACATTACAACAGGAGCACACACTGGGACAAAAGAACTCGTTACTACAGGAAAGAAAAATTCCAAAACTAAGAAGGCAGGCACCATATGTTTTCAAGCCTTGCCCTAGAGACATCTTGTCCTAAAGACATCCCATCTACTTCTTCTCCAGGGTTTCCCTACATTTCTGTTGTCTCACTCTGGGACCAATTCTTTAACATATAAGCCTCTGCAGATACTTGAGATTCAAATTTAGAAAGATTTAAACTGAAAGTAACACAGGTATTGAAATTTCTGGAAACACAATTTTAAAGTAGTCATTTTACAACGTTCTCATGAAAAATCACTTAAATATTGGTAGCATAACATTAACAAAGTTAACAAATAAAAGAAAAAAAAGCAATGACCGTAAATTATAATTAAAATATACAATTACAAAACTCACAAGCTGCACTGAATAGCAGAAGAAAGGTTAAGAAGAACTACAAATTTTTAGAGGTTATAAGTAAACAAGAAAAAAGGTAATGAGAAATGAACAGAACTGTAGATCATGTGAGTAAATAAGAAATAGCTCTTTTATTGTATGTTTGAACAGAGATATATAATGGATATGGAAAATCTTGGAAAAATTAATACGCGAAACTTTCCATCTTGTATCAGACATGTAAGGCTGACCTAGGAAACTTTGTGATTTTTTCAGGCAGAACAAATCCAGAAAATCTTAATCCACTAGCATTAGCGTGGTCTCCCTACTAAAAAAAGTATTTTACTTTATTTTGTGTCCATTCTTTTTATTTGTTTTTTTTTTCTCACACAATACATCCTGATCATACCCTCCTTTGTTCCAGTTCTTTTAGCCCTTCTCCCACTTCTTCTCTCCCCAGCTCCACTCCTCTATTTTTCTTCAGAAAAGAGCAGGTCTCTCAGGGATATCAACCGAACATGGCATAACAAGTGAGAATAAGATCAGGAACAAATGCTCATATCAAGGATGGACCAGGCAACCCAGTAGGAGAAAAATGATCTCAAGAGCAGGCAAAAAAGTCAGAGACACCCTTACTCCCCCTGCTAGGAGTCCCACAAAAGCCCTGAGCTAAACAAGTGACTCTTGTTAGAAAAGTAGCTTGATTGTCCAAGTGCTTGCCTAACATGCTCAAAGCCCAGGATTCAGTCGTCAGGTATGGTGATGTTTCCATCTAATCATAGTATTTGTGGAGTCAAGGTATGGGGAGCCAAAGCTCAAAGTCATCTACAGCTACATAGCAAGTTGGAGGCTAGAGAGTTGAAGGCAAAGATTGGGCTATGGAAGACCTGATCCCTTCCCATCGCCCCTCCCCCCTCAAAAAATATAGAAAGAATAGAAAAGGAAAGGAAACAAACAAGCAAAATCTGACACTTGTACATGTACCTTAAGAGAATCATAAACTTGTCTAAAAAGTCTACAAAGTACCTTTATGTAACATTTGCCACATCACCACTCATATTCATCTGGAAAGATCTTTTGTATTTTGGTCAGTTAGTGGAACATCGTAATGTACATAGTGAAATTTAATATTACGTAGAAAAATAAAAAAGTGCTTATGATGAATGCAACTACTGACTAAATCTCAGTGACAATAGACTGAATCTGAACGTCAATGTCTAAAGGTTAGAGTAACTCAGTTACACAATTTCCAGAAGAGGGGGGAATACTAAGTGATGGGAAATAAAGTGGTTTTTAACCATGATAATTGTGAAGTAAGATAGGATTATAAAGGACCAGCAGGCAGATGTTGGGATTATCATAGTTATACTCCTTACTAAAAACAATTACATCAATGAAGTAAACTTTAGGATGCAATAGTTTTTAAATGTTAATAAAAACCTCCTGGGACTATAAATAAAATAAAAGCTTCGTAAATGTCAATAAAATACTTAATATATCTTATAACATGTGTAAACTTATTTTGTAGCATTAGAGGCCACGTAGGGATTTGTTACTACTGCCAAGTGTTGTATACTGTATAGTTTTGTCTACCAGTTTTTAATACTGGCAGTTTTGATGGTCTGTTTACATCAGTAAACTTGCAAATAGTGAATGTAACATTATTTGACAGCCTTACAATGACCCTGAAATCAATAGGTGAACAATTTTAAATTTTAAATAATTATGAAACATTTCATACATGTTTAAAATTCTGTTTCATATTGATGAAAGTATCCTAGACTATCATAACATGATAGAAAATCCTCAAAATCAATTTGCTTTCAGATAAAGCAAGTTTTTTTTTTTCTTAAACCAGAATATAAGAACCACATTAACTAATGATGGTTAATGAAGACTACAGCCATGTTATATTCCATGTAATTTAGTATTCAGAATAAAAACATATATTTTGGCCATGAAATACTAGTTAGTTGTTAATTGCCAAACTCATGTTAACGTGGCCAAGTACTATTTAAAATGTAAGGTCCCCAGTACTTCAACCAAGGATGGCCATGCCACATTAAGTAGGAAAATATTGTCATTGATCATGTAGAGTTATGAACCAAAGTGACATTTTGGAAGATTAAAACTTGATCCTCTGATATAAGTTCATTGTAGAATATTTTATGATGCTATTCTTCTCAACCAGGTTTGTGAATATGTAAACGTGCCTACACACACACACACACACACACACACACACACACACACACACACACAATCATGGCTTGGTAAGTGAACAACACAGGAAGCAATAGATGTGGTTTTCTAAGTCCCACTAGTAGATTTTCTTTGTTCCTAACTTGTAGTGTTTATTTTCAAGCATAGACTATCAAAATTTAAGAGGTATATTTTTGTAGCAAAATTCGAAATGATTAGGACTTTCCATGACAATTTGCAAATAGAAGCAGATTTGCACAGTAGGAACATGACATATTAGGATACTTTTTACATCACACATTAATCTGCAGATTTATCGACTAGTACATATTTAAGATATTAAATTCATCTGATTATTTTCATCTTTTATTCTTGCTTGTTCTGTCTTCCACTT